TGAAAGTTATAATTCACTATCTACATATTCAAACATAATATACACAAACAAAACCATCTTATATTACACAGAAGCTCTTAATATCTTATTTGAAATAAAATATATATACTAAGAATATTAATCCTAACGATGATTTTAACCAAACAACCAATAAATTGTGGCCAGAATATTACCACATTTTTACAGATTGATCTAAGATGAGTAACAACGTAGGTTGTGCTTATTATGATTCTAAAACAAAGCATCACCAAGAATATAATTTTCCTAAAGAAGCATCAATATACATGTTAAAACTATATGCAATCTTTCAAGCAATGCGGTACATACGGCATAATCCATTTAATAAATTTAATATCATCACAGATAGTAAAAGTTCTATCGACCCTCTAGCAAATTTAAGTACATCCTCACAGATCTCGCATCTAGAACTAGACATACTAAAAGAAAATTTTGAAATAACAAAGCAAAATAAAACATTAATTGTGATTTGGATTGAAGGACATTCGGGAATAAAAGGCAACGAAATAGCAGACAACTTAGCTAAATCATCCCATTTGTGTGGAGATGTATTATCTGCAAACTGTATCCCATATTCAGATTTAAAATCATTATTTAAAGAAAAAATTATACCTGATTGGCAGGAAAAATATGATAACTCGTTAACTGGTTTAAACTTTAAAAATTATCACATACAAATTCCAAGATTAAGATGGTTTCATTCTATAACAAACTATTAACAGAGCAAGATCAGATCATGCATTAACTGCATCCTATAAATACAAAATAGGAATTGTTGAAAATCCATTCTGTTCTATCGAAATTTAGAACGTACATTACTGTAATGTCCACTACACTGGGAGAGCCAAAATACCTCTTATAATGATCTAACAAAAAATCTGATGTGTCCAACACATGACTTTCCTATCTAGTTATAGGCTTTTTCCGGTTATTTTGTACAACCTATTGCAGCACCTCTATAAATGATTAGAGGATAAACTAAATATATACATTATTAGAGGATAAACTAAATATATACATTTTCCTCATACATCTACCTCGAAACATTTTTTTATAGATATTCAACAAAAACGATACTACTGAAAAACTTTAATTTAGCACGTTTCCTATAATTTTTCCATTACGGTCCATTTTAAAAAATCATTTAACAACAACTTTTGGTTTAACAATTTTCTTAAAAATCAGAATTTTGCAGATTTTGTCAAATTTCTCGAATACGGACCATTTCAGGAAAATTTGACATTGGCAAAAATTATAGATAATAATATTATAAGTAACTTTTATTTGAATAATTTTCTTCTCCAAACATAAATAACAAATATATTTCATAAAATATAAAACGGCCTGCCATAAAGTACCCCCTAGATGTTCCGACTATGTCCAAAATTTAATCACTTTACGTCAGGCCGAAATGAAACTTAAGTTTAAAATTTAATGTTTTTTCCTTTATCCGTTTTTGAGTTTTCTTCAAAATTCGAAATTTAAACATATTCTCAAATATCTCGAATACGGTCCATTTTAGAAAAATTATGTATGGGAAAAAAATATAGAAAATTATATTACAAACAACTTTTATTTAAATAACTTTTATAAAAAATTTAGGACAATTTTGTATAGAACATAAAATATTAATAATATTGTAAGTGAATTTTATTTAAAGAATTTTCTCCTCCAAACCTAAATAACTGATATATTTCATAATATAAAAAAATTACTACTCATAAAGTACCCCCCAGATGTTCCGACTCTGCCCAAAATCTAATCAGTTCAATGAACGCCGGAATAAAGCTTAAGTTTAAAATTTGGTGTTTTTATTTGTATCGGTTCATGAGTTATGGTGAATACAGACAGACAGACAGACAGACAGACAGACAGACAGACAGACAGACAGACAGACAGACAGACAGACAGACAGACAGACAGACAGACAGACAGACAGACAGACAGACAGACAGACAGACAGACAGACAGACAGACAGACAGACAGACAGACAGACAGACAGACAGACAGACAGACAGACAGACAGACAGACAGACAGACAGACAGACAGACAGACAGACAGACAGACAGACAGACAGACAGACAGACAGACAGACAGACAGACAGACAGACAGACAGACAGACAGACAGACAGACAGACAGACAGACAGACAGACAGACAGACAGACAGACAGACAGACAGACAGACAGACAGACAGACAGACAGACAGACAGACAGACAGACAGACAGACAGACAGACAGACAGACAGACAGACAGACAGACAGACAGACAGACAGACAGACAGACAGACAGACAGACAGACAGACAGACAGACAGACAGACAGACAGACAGACAGACAGACAGACAGACAGACAGACAGACAGACAGACAGACAGACAGACAGACAGACAGACAGACAGACAGACAGACAGACAGACAGACAGACAGACAGACAGACAGACAGACAGACAGACAGACAGACAGACAGACAGACAGACAGACAGACAGACAGACAGACAGACAGACAGACAGACAGACAGACAGACAGACAGACAGACAGACAGACAGACAGACAGACAGACAGACAGACAGACAGACAGACAGACAGACAGACAGACAGACAGACAGACAGACAGACAGACAGACAGACAGACAGACAGACAGACAGACAGACAGACAGACAGACAGACAGACAGACAGACAGACAGACAGACAGACAGACAGACAGATACAGACAGACAGATACAGACAGACAGATACAGACAGACAGATACAGACAGACAGATACAGACACACACACACACACACACACACACACACACACACACACACACACACACACACACACACACACACACACACACACACACACACACACACACACACACACACACACACACACACACACACACACACACACACACACACACACACACACACACACACACACACACACACACACACACACACACACACACACACACACACACACACACACACACACACACACACACACACACACACACACACACACACACACACACACACACACACACACACACACACACACACACACACACACACACACACACACACACACACACACACACACACACACACACACACACACACACACACACACACACACACACACACACACACACACACACACACACACACACACACACACACACACACACACACACACACACACACACACACACACACACACACACACACACACACACACACACACACACACACACACACACACACACACACACACACACACACACACACACACACACACACACACACACACACACACACACACACACACACACACACACACACACACACACACACACACACACACACACACACACACACACACACACACACACACACACACACACACACACACACACACACACACACACACACACACACACACACACACACACACACACACACACACACACACACACACACACACACACACACACACACACACACACACACACACACACACACACACACACACACACACACACACACACACACACACACACACACACACACACACACACACACACACACACACACACACACACACACACACACACACACACACACACACACACACACACACACACACACACACACACACACACACACACACACACACACACACACACACACACACACACACACACACACACACACACACACACACACACACACACACACACACACACACACACACACACACACACACACACACACACACACACACACACACACACACACACACACACACACACACACACACACACACACACACACACACACACACACACACACACACACACACACACACACACACACACACACACACACACACACACACACACACACACACACACACACACACACACACACACACACACACACACACACACACACACACACACACACACACACACATATACATACACATACACATACATACACATACATACACATACATACACATACATACACATACACAAACACACACGCGCGCCCGCGCACACACAGACATCATCCCGAAAATAGTCAAAACAGATTCAAGGGACCCCAAAACGTAAAAATCCGTCAAAAACTTGAGGTCGAAAAAAATCATGATTCCTATACTTTTCATATATTTGTATACATATAGGAAAGTAAAAATGGGCCAACTTTACCAATTAATTTTAATTGTATTAGATTTACTAACAATACTACTCTATTATTTTGTACTGACCTTCATACCAAAAGATGTAATATAAAATTTTACATAATACTAACGACAGTTTGTAAGCAACCTTGCGATTATCACAAAAATTGTACGTGCACTGAAAAAAACAAAACAAAAAATATATTATAAAAAAAACATAAAAACAAAAAATTAAAAAAATATATATAAATATGTAATATAATAAAAATCAATAATTACTTACAAAAAAAAATTAAAAAAGAAAAATTTATATAAGCACACATACCCAAATACTAACAATAGAGATACTAACAAATATTTGTGTATTTTTAGATTTGAAACAATATTGAGTATTCGTGGAACAGAAACAAAAGTCTACCTTATTGGTTCCTACCACAGCCATTATACTAATTAAAAAAAAAAAATAATAATAATTATTAGTATTAATCATTATTCTACGATCAAAACATTTTTTTTTCACTTTAATATGCTCCATGGTACCTTCGCACAAATGTCCAAAAAATTCCTGGGTTGCTATGGTAACGCTAAAGAAAATACACAAGTTTAAAAGCATAGATGTGATATTTTCTTACCAAAAATCACTAGAGGTGTTATTAAAAACCCATTATTTTTCCTCGGTTCTATTACCAAAATATTCAAGAATTCAAATAATTTTTTTGGAAATAATATAACTTCTAGTGAATAAAACAATAGATTTGATAGGAAAATCAAATTATAATTAAATTTTATTTTAATTTTTAGTGACAAAACTGTAGGACATTACACCCAAGTAGTATGGGCTGAAACCAAAGAAGTTGGATGTGGAATGACAACTTATGTGGAAAATGGTTGGTACAATTTTTTATTCGCCTGCAATTATGGACCCGGAGGAAATATGGCAGGTTCGCCAGTATATAAAACTGGCAGTCCAGCTTCGGACTGTTCATCAGGATTATCAGTAAATTCGAAATATCCAGGATTGTGTGGACTAGATAATATTAACTGAAAATATCCGAAGCTAAATTAATGGAAACAAAATTATTTTCGCATATAAATAAAGTACTAGTTTTGGATTTATAGCTCTCTATTTAGAAAACACTGGTAAAAAAATTATAATAATTGGTATATATTTTAATAAAACTTTTGACGCAAAATTGGTATTTTAATTGTTTTATATCTAATAGTCCTGTGGAAATTATATTTTTGTAACAGGTTTGTGTTCGGACATTTAACTCAATCTGGCAAACGCGCTTGCGGAGTGTTGTGATCGGGAATGCCACGTGACGGGTCTGGGGGAATGTGTGGGAGTGCGCTTAAAAAATGAAGACGAGTGTTGAAAAAAGAGAACAATTGAGGCGTTCTTTGCATAAACCCCAGTTGTCATTAAATTCAACTTTTGAGAAAACTAAAAAAATTATTCCCAATTCTATATCATTTAGTTCAGAACTCTTTTACTTTGGTGATCTGTAACTTTGATAATAAGACATATTTTGGAGTATAAATGATATTTTTTTTTCTTTTGGTTTTCTTAAATCTGCAATTTTTTTATTTGACATATTGGGTTTTTGGAGAAATATTTAAAAAAAAAATTATAATATAATAATAACTGTCCTCCCAGTTAACCCTAGAAGTCTAAACTTAACCGCGGGGGTTGGCAATGATTATTATTATCTTTGTAAAATTGCCACGAACATCTAGGGATGACTTAGATGACAAAAGCAAAGTAGTGGCAAAGTACTAAGGGGAGGTTTTGAATAACTTAAACTATCTGGAATAGTGTAGTAACATTTTTATTTAATACTCTAACAGGACTTAACAAATTCTAGTCTTCGTCACTAATACCACTGCTGTTATCATCTTCATCTATATCGCTAATTGTCGCAGATTGTTGAGGTGCTACAAGTAGATTGTTATAAAAGGTCTTCGCCTCTTCTTTTTTCAGATATTGTGTCAAATCCTTTAGGTTAGCCATTTTCCCCGGCGGTACCTCTAAACGAATATTATATAACGGTTTAAATACAAATTCTTTGGGTAGACAACGCTTATTTCTTATCAAAGATTTTTCCCAGTTTCCAGCATAGGTTTGTCTTACCAAAACAACCCCCGGTTCATTTACAGTGTATTTCAACATACGCGCTATTTTGATGTTTACTGGTGGGCGAGCTGATTTAAGAAACAATGGGGAAACTACATCTGCATTATACAGGGTGTCCTTTAAAATGTGTCCCAAAATTCTCAAGCAGATTCATTAACCAAAAAATGGAAAAAAAGTTCCTATAGACCTATGTCCTAAAGTGCCCCCTAAGCGAGCAACAGCCTCTCGAAATCATTTTTTTTATTTTGATTTTTTGAATTTTCTTAAAAATGGAAACAAATAAAAGAACCAAATTTTGGCTGTTAAATATGATCAATAATAGTGACCTTTTGACACCTTCAAAAAGAAATTATTTCGTCAGGGGTGTACTTGGGAATTTTTTGAAAATTTTGATTATTCATAACTTTTTTGTGTTTTTGGTAATGACTTATCCATATTTTTTTTTACATTCTACATTGAAAACTACGTCAAAAAGGAATACTTGTTTGATCTCGATTGGAGCAGCCGTTTCCGAGAAAACATCATCCAAAGATATTCGTGCAGTTTAGGTTAATTTTCAATTTTGGCTGTTGTAGCCAAAAAGTTGGAAATCGAGGAACACGGCTTACATGTCCCTATCCTTACTTTTGAAGGTCTATTCAGTGGCAAAAAATATTAGTTGATACAGGGTGATCAAAAATCGGATGTGATTTTGGATTTTTGATCACCCTGTATCAAATAATATGTATTTTATGTCACTGAATAGACCTTAAAAAGTTAGGATAGGGACTGTAAGCCGTTTTCCTCGATTTCCAACTGTTTGGCTACAACAGCCACCTGAATTTAAAAAAATGTGATTTTTGAGTAGCTGTAGATCCTTTACTATTCATATTAGATAACAAGTGTGATATATCATTGAAATCAGATTATCGAGCAGATTCTAAAAATATAAAAATATACAGGGTGTTCCATTTAAAAAACATAACTTTGATTTGGCACGGCCTTATGAAACACCCTGTCACATCGTAACTAATTTTAAAATGTGAAGCTTAAAGCTGCCTACTTTTATTATAACAGATCTACAGAGCTTCCTCACACTAATCAATCACCCTGTATACTATTTTTAGCTCTCTAAATAAAATTTAAAAATTTAGTTCCCATTTATTTATTATGAAGACCATAAGGTTTGTATTTAGCTGTTTAGAATAAAAAAGTAAAAATATGTATTTTTTTGGCGTGTTTGTGTTTCATGGATAATTTTTTTCGCTCACTGATAAAAATGTTTCTTCAGTTAAACATTATTTCTAAAAGTGTTCTGGTGTGATTCGTTGTATTGTTATTATTTTGTTTAAAATGGCTCACAATAACTACAATAATGATTACACATTCGGCGAAATGACGGACATGCGCTTATGTTTTGGACTCGCTTCTGGAAATGCCAATGAAGCTCGCAGACTTTATCAGGAGCGCTTTCCAAATAGGCATCTTCCATGCGCTAAGACGTTTTCTAGAATTGACGATAGACTTCGGGAAACTGGTACATTTAAGAAAAACTCTAGTAACAGTGGAAGACAAAATAGCAAATGGTAAGTAATTACTTATTTATTATTTTAGCTACCCCGTACCTTATCGTATAAAACTAGTTTTTTTACTTGTTATTGCTTCTCTTACATTTCACGACTTTTCGTATCGAAAAGAGTTGCGTTATGCAGAAAAAATCTGATTTCCCAAATCAATGGATTCTCTTTCTTAACTATTCACTACACAGATTCTCTCATTTAATTTCAGAAGTGGGAGTCGGACGTAACACGGTATGGAAAGTTTTGCGTGAACAACAATAATTGTACCCTTACCACATTCAAAAAGTTCAGGCACTTAAAGCTACTGATTATGAGCCGCGAGTTATCTTTTCTGAATGGTTTCTTGGAAGATGTAATCAAGATGCAATGTTTCTTAATAAAGTGCTATTTACCGATGAAGCTGGTTTCACTAGAGATGGTATAATAAATTTTCGAAATATGCATGAATGGGCTGAAGATAACCCTCACGCGGTTGTTGAACGTCACCACCAGGATAAATTTTCAATAAACGTCTGGGCTGGAGTTATTGATAATTACCTTATTGGACCATTTGTTTTGCCGAATAGGTTAAATGGAGCAGCATACAGGCTTTTTTTGGAAAATAACTTACATGAGCTTCTTGATAATATTCCGATTCAAATCAGACATAACATGTGGTTTATGCATGATGGAGCTCCATCACATTACAGCATTGAAGCTAGACAGCACCTTAACGAAAGATTTGAGGGTAGAGTAATTGGCAGAGGTTGTCCTGTTAACTGGCCACCTCGTTCACCAGATCTAAATCCAATGGATTTTTTTGTTTGGGGTTATTTAAAATCATTGGTTTATTCCAGTCCTGTTGAAACAGTTGAAGAATTGGAAGAACGAGTTTTTCATCATTGCGAAGTTCTTAGGAATAATCCTGAAGTATCTTTTCGTGTAAGACAGTCTATGATGCGACGGTTGCGCTTGTGTGTGGAAACCAATGGTCGCCACATTGAGCATCTGCTTTAATTTTTTTTGATTTGTTTTTTTTAGAATAAATATTTTTTTAAACCGTTTCTTATTATTAAATAAAAATAGTCCCACCACGACATTTGAACTACAATTATTTAGAGAGAGCTAAAAAAGTTATTTTTATTTACGAGATTCACCGAGGTAATTTAGGAAAATTGAAAATTAAGCTAAAGTGGACGAATATCTTTGGATGATGTTTTCTCGGAAACGGCTGCTCCAATCGAGATCAAACAAGTATTCCTTTTTGACGTAGTTTTCAATGTAGAATGTAAAAAAAAATATGGATAAGTCATTACCAAAAACACAAAAAAGTTATGAATAATCAAAATTTTCAAAAAATTCCCAAGTACACCCCTGACGAAATAATTTCTTTTTGAAGGTGTCAAAAGGTCACTATTATTGATCATATTTAACAGCCAAAATTTGGTTCTTTTATTTGTTTCCATTTTTAAGAAAATTCAAAAAATCAAAATAAAAAAAATGATTTCGAGAGGCTGTTGCTCGCTTAGGGGACACTTTAGGACATAGGTCTATAGGAACTTTTTTTCCATTTTTTGGTTAAGGAATCTGCCTGAGAATTTTGGGACACATTTTAAAGGACACCCTGTATATCATAGATTGATCAACATTAGTTACAGTAAACGGCGATGGGTTGTGCCTAGCATTCTTGATGACGTTATCCCATGCTGTAGGAACTTCAATAGTTACTGTTTTTTTATGTTTTTCTATTAATGAAAAGTCTTGGTCGCAACTTAGGAAAGAATGGCCACGTACATATGTGGTTTTTGATGAAAACTGCTGCTGACATATGGGGTTTATGCAGAATGATCGATATTTTAACCGTTCATATCTTGGACTACTAAGGATTTTGCGAAATTTTTTCATGCAAGGGACATAGATACTTACGTTATATACCCATAAGTGCCATAATATTAAATTCCGGAAAAACTGACATATGGCGTTTTTGCAAAGAACGCCTCAATTCATATAAGACTTTTGTAGAGTTTGCATTGTTTGTACAAGTTACTTTTATAATAAAATCAATTCTTTTCTATTCTATATAATACAGTCCAACAGTTTGAAATAAGAATCATCGAGAAAAATCATAACTCGACTTAGCTGTGAAATTTATTTTGGGATAGTACTTTAGCTACTTCCACATAATGACCTTTTAGCCTTAAAACTAAAATTGTGTCAAATTTAAAAAAAAATTAATTTAAAAGATTGTTATTCCACACATGGCAAAAATCAAAAATTATCGAATGTTACTTCGGTACTGTAATGTTATTTATAGACACTGAGTTAGTATGTACACTTTATTTACAATTATTTACATTACTTATTTTTACAATCATATTAATTAGCTTAAACACTACGTGTTTCATTTTGATTGTCCGTGAGCCGGCGTGGCTTATTAATTGTTTAAATCCGCCATGTCAACTGTTGTCAATGTCAATGCCTGAATGAATGTCTGTCATTCTAGGCATTGCTGTCAAC